CATGAACGGTACGAAGAGGATTTTTGTAAAATTTAGTTCGGCGACTGTGTATGAGGCAGTGGTGAATAAGTTTCAAGAGGTGGCCATACCAGTTAACCATGCTGTGACGGTGCGGCTGCATGATGTGTCCAGCTATTACACATGGGTTAAGATCAGGAATGTGCCGTTCGAGGCGGATGCATCTGACATCCGGTTCATTATGTGTAAATACGGCACAATACATACGATCACTGCAGGAAGGTGGTCAGCTGGCCCGTATATGGGGATACCTGAGGGTGCATTCTCTGTCAAGATGACGCTCAGACATCCAATTCCATCGTACGTGGTGATGGAAGATTTCAGGACTCAGGTTTTTGTAACATACGCTGGGCAGCGAAGCACTTGCCATTTGTGCGGGTCGTATGATCACCTGGCTGCGCAATGTGAAAGAAGACGTGGTGATAAGGACCAGCAGCAACGACGAGATGTGGAGGAAAGGAGAGAGGATCAAGATCAACTGTTTTCGACTCTGCCTCAGCAGAGTTTGACATGGAGTGAGGAGGTTGAGAGGGCCGAAGAAAAGGAGATGGCAGGGGCTACGCGGGGGGACGACATCAATTCCCTGGACGTTGTACAAGTGCTGGATGAGGTCATCGCGGAAGCGAATGGTAGCGACGCGGAAACGACGATAGTGTCGACGTTTGAGAACATTTTGGGTAATGAGAGTCCTTGTCAGGATGTTGGTACAGACCTGGATCATGGGTCTGCAGTTGAGGAGGGCGTGGTGATGCCAGCCCGGCCTGAAGTGTGTCGTAAGGATGCCAAGTTGGTGAGAACTGTGGAGGTGGAGGTTCATCATGGCACTGAGCTGGATGACTTGATGCAGGTCGAGGGTACGACGCGAAAGCGCGCAGCAGTGCTTTCTGATTCCGACGACGTGCTTACGCCTGCACAACGACCTGGGAAGAAAACATGGGCGGAAGCCATGCGGAGAGGTTCAAGTGGCGCCCAGGGGCAGGGGTTGGGTAAGGGTGGCCAGAAAGGGGGGGGGAGGAAAGGGTGCAATGAAACGATCAGGTGATAAGTCGGTAGTGTCAAGAGGGAAACCCCCTTTGTCGGTTTTAAGTGCCTGACATTGAACATCAATGGCTTGAGGTCTCAGAGAAAGTGTGAGTGGTTTAAGGAATATTTGGTGCGTCATGATGTTGACGTTGTGTTCTTGCAGGAACACAATTATAGACCGGGTTATGAGTTGAAGGTGGATGGGTATAATGTGTATGTTGAGCATGCAGTCAGATTGAAAGGAGGTGTGGCCATTTTGGTGAAAGAAACTAGCCCGTTGGTTGTCAGGCATATGAGGGGGGAGAGGGGAGGGTGATTCGTGTGGATGGGTTATGGGGTCAGGTACAGATGACGTTGGTGTGTGTGTATGGCCCAGCAGAGGGAGATGTGAGGATAAAGAATAAATTCGTGAGGGACGTTCTGGTATATTATTTGCGTGGATTGCCGGGGGTTGCTGTGATAGGAGGTGACTGGAACTGTGTGATAAGGAGTAAGGATGTTGAACCGAGGGGGGCAGGGCATTGTTTGAGGATATTGGGAGAATTGTTATCCGGGGTAGGATTGACAGATGTTGAGGGAGGTGAGGTGGTGGAGCACACATTTATTAAGCGTGGGTATGCGGCTAGGCTCGATCGATTATACGTGCCAGGACAGTCGTAATACATAGTGTGAGGGTTAATGGACGTAGTATTTTCTGATCACAGGGGTGTTTTGGTGGATATAGGTTGGGAGGGGTTGCCAAGAAGGTGTAAGGGGTTTTGGAAGTTGAATGTAAAGTTGTTGCAGGAAGAAGAGTCTCGACAGTCATTTGTTCAATTGTGGGAGGAGTTGGTGGCGGAGGCGCCTGGGAATAGTGAACTGGTTAGTTGGTGGGACTCTGTGGCGAAATCTCGTAATTGAAGGAATTTTATGATTCGTAGTGGGAGGGAATATAACAGTTGTGAAGTATGGGTACCAATCTTATCTGAGGGGCATTGATAAGCTTGCTACGAGCGAGGGATGCTAGTATAATCCGGGTGGACGATATTGAGGGATGAAAGGAGCATTTCAGGATTTGTAAAATAAAGATTTGATGGCGAGCGCGTTTGGTGGGCTGGAAGAGGTGTTTATGGGGTGACAGGCATCGGGCATGCTGTTGAGGAGACAGCCGAAGAGAAGAGAGGCGACGAGGGAGATGAATGGGATTCACTGTTCAATTGGGATGGAAGGGTATAGAGAGGGGCATTGTAGTATGACGACAGAGGGAAGAATGAGTGGTTTATCTAGATGCATGGTTAGGTCATATGGCCACAAAACGGGAGGTATTTCGAGATGAGCTTTAAAAAAGAAATGGGAGGTTATTCATTCAATGTGAGATTGATGGTTATAGATAGGGTAACATTAGAAGGTCCGATCACGGAAAGTGAGATTCGCAGCTGCTTGTGTTCTGTGCAAGTTTAGGATAAGCGCGCCAGGTGTGAGATGGGTTGCCGATGATTTTTACGTATAGGATTGGGAAGTATTGAGAGGATTTTTATATGTTGAGATTATTCCATGTAATGAAGGATATGGGGAAATTGGTAGGCAGCAAAGGACTCTGTCGTGGTATTAGTTCCGGAAGGGGGACAGACTACAGTAGAGGATTACCGAGCAATATCGTCTTATGTGTGGCGATTATGAAGTTATTTGCATGGATATTAGGGAAAAGAATAAAAAGGTGATAGGTAACGTAAATTGACAGAGGACAATATGGGGTACCGGTAGGACAATGGTATGAAGGCATGGAAGTTCTTAGAAGTTTCATAGAAGCAGAGGGGGGAGTTGGAGGGTGGGGTGTGTTGGATTGGATTGGCGAGCATGCATACGATAGTGTGGAGAGGGATGCGTTATGGAGGTTCATGCGTTGGCAGGATTCGGGAGCGGAAATTATATCTTGGGCCGAAAACATTGTACAGGGAGCCATCTTATGAAGTGACAGGTTTAATGGAAGGCTAGGTGTTAACATTCATATGGGAAGAGGGTTTTGCGACAGGTTGCCCTCTAACGCAAGTGTTTGTTTGCGTGTCTCCAGGATCCCTTTTATATGGGCAGTTAGGTGGAGTAGCACAAGGTGAGGGGTTAGTAATGAACGAGAGGGTCGCCCCAGGTAATGTGGGTTATGGTGGATGACACAACTGTATTGGTGAGGGATGAGAAGGATTTACACAATGTAGGAAAGGTGTAGATGTGTTTGGGCGGGAGGCTACTGGGATGGAAATTAATGTGGCAACGTCTAAGTATATGGACCTAGGCAATCCCGTAAATAGAGTGGGACCTGTAGGTCAGGTGGTAAGTGTTGGTGAGGATCAGCTATTGAATTTGTGGATAGTGTACGCTCAGAATGTAGGGTCGCACAAGAGGTAAATTCGTGTGCACCGGTGGATCGGGGTAATTGAAAAGATTGGGTGGGTTGAGGACGGCGCAGCTAACGTTGCATCAGAGGGTCATGTGAACGAACGTCGCCTGTTGTAGTAGTAAATATGGCACGTGGTGGCAATATACCCACTGAGGCGCGAGAGGTGCAATGGTTGCAAAGGGATTTTCCGATTTATATGGGATTCGGCGGGTTGTGACTGGCTAAGTAGAGGGGTGTGGATGGCTTCCCGTTAGCCATGGGGGCGGGGGCTTATACCTTTAGAAAAGCAATGATGAGTTTGTATCTAAAACGCGGGTCTTTTGAGGGAGGTGGGGCGAGGAGAGGGGGGCTAGAGAAAAACTGCGTATGGTATGCCAACAATGGTGGGGGGAGTAAGGATTTAATGATTGGTGAGGCCCATGTTTGAGGGTTTTTAATGATGGTGAGGGGATCCGAACGCCTAATTGAGATTCTTGAGAGGGGTGGGGGTGGGTCGAGTGGCGGCAGTTGAGGTGGCTTACCCGCATGTATGCATGGGGGAAAGTATCTGGAAAATTTTACGGCAAATGCGTATTAAACCAGGTTAAAGGGAGGTAATGTTTTAGGTTCTACATGGAACCTTGTGCCGTCTGGTGTTATGTTATTTAAGAGGAGACTAAGGGAGGGTGGGGAGTGGTGGGGGGCAAAGCGGGTGGATGTTTCCGAGACTATTTTTCATGCGGTGTATTTGGGTAATTGTTTAGAACGTGAGTATGGTTAGGTAGGGTAGTTAGGTTTAGTGGTGGGGAAGGGTTACAGGTGTTAAGGGTGTTACGTTTAGATAAGTGGGATGAGTCAGATGGTGGTAAATGCGGTTGTGTATGTGTCACTGATTTTTATTATAGGTCTTTGGCTATAGGGAGTGGGTGTGGATAAAGAAAACAGGTGGTAGCGGCCTCCATTTATAGAACATAAGTGTCGCAATAAGGGATCTTTATGGGGGAAGGTGGGAGACAGTAGTTTACTGAGGGGATACCGGGAGATTTAAGTTAAAGGATTTAGGGGATTTAAGTGTAAAGGGGTAGCACGGGCTAGTTCCTTGAGCAAGAGGGGTGTGGAAGGCTTTTAAAGGGTGTGTGTGAGGGACTCTGATTTGCACTGAGACCTTTTATGCTTTTCCTGAGTAGCAGAGGTGTGGTGTGTGTGGTGTTTTTACACATGTGTTCCCTTTATGTTGGTGAAGAATATTGGATAGGACACTGTGTTACGTATTGGTATTGGAGCACGTACATGCATTTGTGTATACACGGTGAGAATTAAAGGGTAGAATCGTAAAGTTTTTGTGTGTGTGAGAATGACTGTTCGTTATTGTGAGAGGGCCTTCAAAGATGTTAAGTAAAGGCACATACTATGTGGTGTTACTAAGGTATGTCCAATGACTGTATCGAATATGCTGTGATATAAAGTCCGGGTTTCCCGTCCTTGTAGATGCATCTGTAGACACTATTTCTGTATACCTGAAGGTTCCGAAGTTTAAATAGCTGTAATGAGTAACGTGTAATGAGTAAACGAGATTGTATTTTGGTACATAAGGCCTAACATAATAATGTTTTCAGTGGCCTGGATAAGATTAATCGTACCTGTCGTGTGAGACTGATGTAGGTAGTGTTTAATATGATTAAGTACACGCTGTTGGTTTCCCTTGCTATTATAATGTTGAAAGTCACATGTAAGGAGTATATGTAAGGTTATTATAAAAATGTATAATGATTTTGTGAAATACAACAATTTTACGATGACTTTGATTGGGCTCAGGTGGTGCATAATGATTTCAAGTAGCGGTGTATATTATGTATTAATACTGCAATGGGTATATAGTGGTATGAAGAAGTCTTGGGTGGATTGCAACCCGTATTGAGATAGAGGTAAGTTATCCTTGTATGCTAGGCAAAGTTTTTTATAATTGTTACTTTAGAGGCTAAGTATATCCTGCGCTCTTAGAGGTATGCCAATGTTTTGTGTGGTTTGGATGAGAAGGGGGGGGGTACCTTTACTTCCCAGAGCACATTTGTACGACGTTTATAAATGTACCTTTGCTGGGGTGGATGTATAGGTTTTAAATGGCATGTGGGAGTTTTTTACCGTTAAGAATTGATTTTATATAAAAACTTGGCATAAGATTTTAAGTGTGCTGAAGAAGATTATCTGGACATGTTGTTGGTATACCTGTGTGAAGTTTCTTTTTCTTTTTTGATTGTGTATACGTATGTTGTACTTAATTTTGTGTTACATGATGATGGTTTAGTGACATGTATGCTTACACGGTATCAAGTATAACTGTATTTAAAATAAAATATAAAAAAAAAAATATATATACGTGATTGCACGTTGCATGTGTTTGGAGTTATTATGAGGAAAACATGATACAATGTACAGTAAACTGGTGACTAGGGTTAATTTATCTTTTAAGGCTGAGTTTCATAATATATCTGATAAAACAAGTTAGTGCTTATTAAAAAACCACTCTCATGTATAGTAAATTTCTTCTGTTTGTTTTTAGGGGAAATATAATAATGTACATTCTTTTTGGGGTGGTGATGCACTCCATTGTCAAAATAACAATGTAACATTTGATGAACTCTAGTAAAAGTTTGTATATATCCCAATCTGTTGGTGATATTAGTTTTTGTTTTGCTTCGGGGTGAAGGGGAAGATTAGTAAAAACTTTTTTGCCAGGATCAGATCTATCAAAAATTACGGAAATCAGGGACGGGGCATGGAAATTTTAAAATTAACAGTGTTACAAAATCAGTTAGGCTTTTGAAGAATTCTGTTGAAGGATTAATAATATATAAATAACAAAGGGGAAAAAAAAATGCAATTGAAAGTTTGGGTCTTCTTTTTTATAATAAATAAAAAATTGTTATTGTCA